TGCACCTGCCGCCATGCCAGGCTAATTAAAAAAAAAAATTATTAGAGATGGGGTTTTGTCATGTTGGTCAGGCTTGTCTTGAACTTCTTTTTTGTTTGTTGTTTTTTGAAATATAGTCTCGCTCTGTCGCCCAGGCTGGAGTGCAGTGGTGCAACCTTGGCTCACTGCAACCTCCGCCTCCCAGCTACTCAGCAGGCTGAGCTACGAGGATCATGTAAGCCCGAGAGTTGAAGGCTGTAGTGAGTTGTGATGGTGCCACTGCACTCAGGCCTGGACAATAGAGCAAGACTCTGTCTCAAAAAAAAAAAAAAAAACTTTCATTCTTCAAAACATGCCAGCAAGAGAGGGAAAAGGCAAATCATAGACTGGAAGAAGCCATTTGCAATATATCAATCCGACAAATAACTCAAATGCAGGACATACAGAGACCTCCTGCCAATCAAAAGGGGAAAGGTAGAGGAACCCTCCTGCCTATCAAAAGGGGAAAGGTAGAGAACCCAGTGGAAAATGTATTGCAATACATCAATCTGACAAATAACTCAAATTCTGGACATACAGAGACCTCCTGCCAATCAAAAGGGGAAAGGTAGAGAACCCAGTGGAAAATTGATGGCAATACATTAATCCAACAAATAACTCAAATTCTGGACATACAGAGACCTCCTGCCAATCAAAAGGGGAAAGGTAGAGAACCCTCCTGCCAATCAAAAGGGGAAAGGTAGAGAAGCCAGTGGAAAATTGATGCCAATACATCAATCTGACAAATAACTCAAATTCTGGACATACAGAAACCTCCTGCCAATCAAAAGGGGAAAGGTAGAGAACCCAGTGGAAAATGACTTGACTCACAAAAGAGGATGGTATCTTTTTCTTTTTCTTTTCTTTTTGAGATGGAGTTTTGCTCATGTTGCCCAGGCTGGAGTACAGTGGTACGATCTCGGCTCACTGCAACCTCCGCCCTCTGGTTTCAAGCAATTCTCCTGCCTCAGCCTCTCGGGTAGCTGGGACTACAGGCACGCACCACCACGCCCAGCTAATTTTTTGTATTTTTAGTAGAGATGGGGTTTCACCATGTTGGCCAGGATGGTCTCGAACTCCTGACCTCGTGATCCACCTGCCTTGGCCTCCCAAAGTGCTGGGATTACAGGCATGAGCCACCACGCCCGGCCACCCAGGCAGTTTCTTAAAAAGTTAAACATAGGCCAGGTACAGTGGCTTACACATCTGTATTCCCAGCACTCTGGGAGGCTACTCATCGCTTGAACCCAGGAGTTCAAGACCAAACTGGGCAACATGGTGAAACCCCTTCTCTACAAAAACATCACAAAAGAATTTTAATGTTTTTATTTTTTCTGCCACGCTCAGCTAATTTTTGTATGTTTTGTAGAGCTGACGTCTCACTATGTTGCCCAGGCTGGTCTCAAACTCCTGACCTCAAGCTATCCACCCACTTCTGTCTCCCAAAGTGCTGGGATTACAGGCATGAACACTGCACCCAGTCAAAAAACACAAAAATTAGCCCGGCATGGTGGCGTGTGCCTGTAGTCCCAGCTACTGGACAGGGGTGGGGTTGAGGTTGCAGTGAGCAGAAAGCGTGTCACTGCACTCCAGCCTGGGTGACAGAGCCAGACCTTGTCTCAAAAAAAAAAAAAAAAAAGGAATGAGATATTCATGCAATAAAATGGACCATGCATTGTATGACTCCATTTATATGAAATGCTCAAATAATGCAATCTATTGAGGCAGAAATCTATTGAGATCAGTGATTTTTAGGGGATGAAGGAAGGAGGCGAATGGAGAGTCACTGCAAATGAACGTGAGGGATCTTTTGGAGATGATGGAAATGTTCTGAAATTGGAATGTGGAGATGGTTGCATAACCATGTCAGTTTACTGAAAATCATCAAATCGTACCCTTAAAATGGGTGAGTTTCGGCCGGGCGCAGTGGCTCATGCCTGTAATACCAGCACTTTGGGAGGCCGAGGCAGGTGGATCACGAGGTCAGGAGATTGAGACCATTGTGACCAACATGGTGAAACCCCGTCTCTACTAAAAATACAAAAATTAGCCAGGTGTGGTGGCAGGCACCTGTAGTCCCAGCTACTCGGGAGGCTGAGGCAGAAGAATCGCTTGAACCCAGGAGGCAGAAGTTGCAGTGAGCTGAGATCATGCCACTGCACTCCAGCCTGGGTGCCAGAGCGAGACTCTGTCTCAAAAAAATTAAAAAATTAAAAATATAATTAATTCGGCCAGGCGCGGTGGCTCAAGCCTGTAATCCCAGCACTTTGGGAGGCCGAGACGGGCGGATCACAAGGTCAGGAGATCGAGACCATCCTGGCTAACACGGCGAAACCCCGTCTCTACTAAAAACACAAAAAATTAGCCGGGTGAGGTGGCGGCGCCTGTGGTCCCAGCTACTCAGGAGGCTGAGGCAGGAGAATGGCGTGAACCCGGGAGGCGGAGCTTGCAGTGAGCTGAGATCTGGCCACTGCACTCCAGCCTGGGCGACAGAGCGAGACACCGTCTCAAAAAAAAAAAAAAAAAAAAAAAAAAAAATTAATTCAAGATGGATTAGAGACTTAAATGTTAGACCTAATACCATAAAAACCCTAGAAGAAAACCTAGGTAATACCATTGAGGACATAGGCATGGGCAAGGACTTCATGTCTAAAACACCAAAAGCAACGGCAACAAAAGCCAAAATTGACAAATGGGATCTAATTAAACTAAAGAGCTTCTGCACAGCAAATAAACTACCATCAGAGTGAACAGACAACCTACAGAATGGGAGAAAATTTTTGCAATCTACTCATCTGACAAAGGGCTAATATCCAGAACCTACAAAGAACTCAAACAAATTTACAAGAAAAAAAACAACCCCATCAAAAAGTGGGCAAAGGATATGAATAGACATTTCTCAAAAGAGGACATTCATACAGCCAACAGACACATGAAAAAATGCTCATCATCACTGGCCATCAGAGAAATGCAAATCAAAACCACAATGAGATACCATCTCACACCAGTTAGAATGGCAATCATTAAAAAGTCAGGAAACAACAGGTGCTGGAGAGGATGTGGAGAAATAGGAACACTTTTACACTGTTGGTGGGATTGTAAACTAGTTCAACCATTATGGAAAACAGTATGGCGATTCCTCAAGGATCTAGAACTAGATGTACCATATGACCCAGCCATCCCATTACTGGGTATATACCCAAAGGATTATAAATCATGCTGCTATAAAGACACATGCACACGTATGTTTATTGCGGCACTATTCATAATAGCAAAGACTTGGAATCAACCGAAATGTCCATCAGTGACAGACTGGATTAAGAAAATGTGGCACATATACACCATGGAATACTATGCAGCCATAAAAAAGGATGAGTTTGTGTCCTTTGTAGGGACATGGATGCAGCTGGAAACCATCATTCTCAGCAAACTATCGCAAGAACAGAAAACCAAACACCACATGTTCTCACTCATAGGTTGGAACTGAACAATGAGATCACTTGGACTCGGGAAGGGGAACATCACACACCGGGGCCTATCACGGGGAGGGAGGAGGGGGGAGGGATTGCATTGGGAGTTATACCTGATGTAAATGACGAGTTGATGGGTGCTGATGAGTTGATGGGTGCAGCACACCAACATGGCACAAGTATACATATGTAACAAACCTGCATGTTATGCACATGTACCCTAGAACTTAAAGTATAATAAAAAAAAGAAAAATAAAAAATAAAAAAAGAAAAGAAAACAAAGGGTGAGTTTCATGGTGTGTAGATTATACCTTGATAAAGCTGTTTAAACAAACAAAACAGGCCAGGGCGCGGTGGCTCATACCTGTAGTCCCGGCTACTTGGGGGGTTAAAGTGGGAAGATTGCTTGAGCCTGGGAGGTTGAGGCTGCAGTGAGCTGTGACTGCACCACTACACTGCAGCCTGGGTGACTGAGTGAGTCTCAGAAAAAAAAAAGGCCAGGCGCAGCATCTCACATGTGTAATCCCAGCACTTTGGGAGGCCAAGGCAGGTGGATCACCTGAGATCAGGTGGGCGTGGTGAAGGGTGCCTGTAATCCCAGCTACTTGGGAGGCTGAGGCAGGAGAATCACTTGAACTTGGGAGGTGGAGGTGGCAGTGAGCCAAGATGGCGCCACTGCACTCCAGCCTGGGTGACAGAGAGAGACTCCGTCTCAAAACACAAACAAGCAAAAAGGCCAGAACACCGGGGTCCAGGACCTCTCTCACTGGAATTGGCAAATGCTGTCATGAAGGGTAGGGGGGGTGGGTGGGGAGGTGGGGTTCACAGTCTCCATGCTGGGCCCAAGTGGATCCCGCCTAACTCAGAGACCTCAGGAATGAATGTCTGTATTTCTGAGGTTTTTGATTTTCCAGAATCTAAACCCCTCTGTTGGACTGGAGACACGCCACTGCTGTGAGTCCGAGTCAGGAACAGCCTGCAACAGAAACTGGAGAAACCCATGGCTTCCCCGTATGGGGACTAGTCTCCCACAACCAGAAGGCTGCCATAGGATGTCACCGGGAACCCAGGCTCCTGGTTCAGCCCTACCCTCCTCATTACGGGGCTCTTAGCCACATGCCCAAAAGATGCCTGCTGCCCCTTGGCATCACAGCCTCCTTCCAGGCAGGAGATGGGGGCAGGGGGTGTCAGAGGAAGTGTGTGTCTAATCTGTCACTTTTTATGGAAAAGTCACTGAATTTTACAGAACCCCCATTCCACATAGCCATCCTGTACTATAGGGGGTCTGGGAGGTCCACTGTTCTTGGCTGGATACATAGTCACCCTTCATTTAATTGGGGCCTTGTGTAGCGGCTCAGGCTTGTAATCCCAGCACTATGGGAGGCCCAGGCAGGAGGATCACCTGAGTCCAGAAGTTTGAGACTAGCCTGGGCAACACAGGGAGACCTGGTCTCTACTAAAAAATAAAACAAAATAAATAAGATAAATTTTTTTGAAGGAAAATTTGTACTTTAATTATTTTTATGCACAGAAAACTCAACAGTGTACATTTAACCCAGTTTAGTGGCAACTTCTTTAGCTTTTGCCTTTTTGAGCTTGGCGATACAAGCCACAGACTTGGGACCCAAGACATTGCCGCCCCAGTGACGATGGATATCATCGTATCTGTCGTTGTAATTGGTCCTGATAACTTCTACCAGCTTAGCCAAAGCGCCTTTGTCTTCCGAGTTCACTTGTGTAAAGGCGACAGTGGTCCAGGTCTTCCTGTGGACTAGACGTCCCAGTCTTGCCTTCCCCTTGATAATGCAGTAAGGGACCCCCATTTTACGACACAGGGCAGGCAAGAAGACAACCAGCTCGATGGGATCCACGTCGTGTGCAATCACCGCCAGCTGAGCCTTCTTGTTCTCCACCAAGGTGGTGACGGTGTTAACTCCTGCTCGAAAGACAGGTGGTCTCTTAGTGGGGACATCCCCTTTGCCAGCAGCTTTCTTCTCGGCCCGGGCCAACAGCCTCTGCTTCTTCTCTTGCTTTATCTCTGGTCTGTACTTGTGGGCCAGCTTAAGCAGCTGAGTAGCTGTCTGGCGGTCCAGGGCCTGGGTGAACTGGTTAATTGCAGGAGGCACTTCCAGTCGCTTATAGAGGATGGCTCTCTGCCGCTGCAACCTGATAGAGCGGGGCCATTTCACAAAGCGGGTGAGGTCTCTTTTGGGCTGGATGTCCTGTCCAATGCCAAAATTCTTAGGCCTTTTCTCAAACAGGGGATTCACCACTTTCTTGGCCTCCTGCTTTTTCACGACAGCAGGGGCCAGAGCCACCTTCTTGCCCTTGGCCTTCTTTCCTTTCGGCATCTTGGGCGGCGGAGGAGCAAGATACATTTTTTTTTAGAGAAAGAGTCTCACTCTGCTAGCCAGGCTGGAGTGCAGTGGTGCAATGATGGCTTATTGAAGCCTCGACCTCCTGGGCTCAAGCAAACCTCCTGCCTCAGCCTCCTGAGTAGCTGGGACTATAGGCACGCACCACCACACCTGGCACATTTTGAAACATTTTATAGAAACAGGGTCTCACTATGTTTCTCAGGCTGGTCTTGGACTCCTGGGCTCAAGCGATCCTCCCACCTCGGCCTCCCAAAGTGCTGATATTATAGGTGTGAACCACCATACCTGGCCTGAACCTGAAATCTTGGGGAAGGCTTCAAGGATACAAAGCGACCCCTAGGATCCATATTAGGGGGTGGGGTAGGTCCAGGGCAGTGGTGGGGGGTGGTACCCATGGTGCTGACAGCCCTCTGACCTTGGAGTCCCCCAGTGCTTCATGCTCGTTGCAACCCAACAGACAGACTCCTTGCTGAGAAGTGGCTGCCCAGCCAGGGACTATAGTTAGGGGCAGTTAGGTGTGGTCAGGGCACCAAGTTCTAGGAAAAATAAGCCAGCCAAGTGAAGTGGGTTACTTCCAGCCCTGGTCCATACAAGCCATGCTGTGTCCTCACGAAGACCATCCCCAGGGGGACCTTGAAATAAACACACTGAAGATGGCAGAGTTGCAACAGCCTGAGTCCCTGAATGACAGTGTGGAGGAGGAGGGCTGCCCTGCCAACCTGTTCCCAGCTAGTACAGCTGTGCATTGCTTAATGACAGGGACACAGTCTGAGAAAGGCATTGTTTGGTGATTTCGTCATTGTGCAAACATCACAGAGTGGGCTTACACAAACCTAGATAGTGTAGCCTGCTACACACCTAGGCTACGTGGTCGAGCTTTCTGCTTCTAGGCTATAAACCTAAACAGCATGTGACTGTACTGAAAATTGCAGGGAGTTACAACACAATGGTAAGTATTTGCATGTCTAGACACATCTAAACGTAGAAAAGGTACAGTAAAAATACGCTATTATCATTTTACGAGACCACTGTTGTATATGCGGTTTGTTGTTGACAGAAACCTCATTATGTGGTACATTACTTCACTGTTTTGGTTTTTTTTTTTTTTTTTTTGAGATGGAGTCTCGCTCTGTCACCAGGCTGGAGTGCGGTGGCACGATCCCGGCTCACTGCAACCTCCACCTCCCTGGTTCAAGCGATTCTCCTGCCCCAGCCCCCCAAGTAGCTGGGATTACAGGCACGCACCACCAAGCCCAGCTAATTTCAGTATTTTTAGTAGACAGGTTTCACCATGTTGGCCAGGATGGTCTCGATCTCCTGACCTCGCAATCCACCCACCTTGGCTTCCCAAAGTGCTGGGATTACAGGTGTGAGCCACCGTGCCCGGCCCATGACTTCACTGTTTTATTTTGTTTGTTTATTTATTTATTTATTTTTGAGATAGGGTCTCACTCTGTTGCCCAGGCTGGAGTGCAGTGGCACAATCTCAGTTCACTTCAAGCTGCAACTCTCCGGCTCGAGCAGCCATCCCACCTCAGCCTCCTGAGTATCTGGGACTAGAGGAGCAAGCTACCACGTGTGACTAACTTTTGTATTTTTGTAGAGATAGCATCTCTGTATATTGCCCAGGGGCTGGTCTCAAACTCCTGGGCTCAAGCGATCCTCCAGCTTTGGCCTCCCTAATTGCTGGGATTACAAGCATGAGCTAGCATGACTGGCCTATTTTTATTTTTATTTTTAATTTTTTTTTCTTGAGACAGAGTCTCGCTCTGTTGCCCAGGCTTGAGTGCAGTCATGCGATCTTGGCTCACTGCAACCTCCAACTCCTGGGTTTAAGTGATTCTCCTGCCTCAGCCCCCTGAGTACCTGGGATTACAGGCACACACCACCACGCCTAAGTTTTGTATTTTTAGCAGAGATGGAGTTTCACCATGTTGGTCAGGCGAGTCTCGAACTCCTGACCTCAAGTGATCTGCCCACCTTGGCCTCCCAAAGTACTGGGATTACAGGCGTGAGCCACTGTGCCCAGCTGTATTTTAATTTTTATGATTTATTTGTATTTGTAGAGGAGGAGTCTTGCTATGTTGCCCAGGCTGTTCTCCAACTCCTGAGCTCAAGCAATCCTCCTGCCTGAGCCTCCCAAAGTGCTGGGATTACACGTGTGAGCACTGCAACTGGCCAACGTTACTGTTTTAAGAGCAAGAAGTAAACTCCATTCACTCAGTATCATTACACATCTTGGGTCTCTGTTACAGAATCGGCATCTCTAACTATAAACCTGTCAAGGTTCCTGCTGGTTTTCTTAGCCAGTGAGCTACCTGATATCCTTCCAGTAAGTTCTTTTTCTGCTTCAGTTAGCCCAGGAAGGTTCCTGTTGCTGGCAACGCAGAGTCATTTTGCAACTGTTTACTCTGTGCTAAGCAGCTTCCTAAGTGTTTTGCATGTATTGATTGATTCACTTTCATAATAACCTTACAAAGGAAGTTCTGTTATCAGGCACAAGATACCCAGTGACTGGCCCAAGCTCACCCTACTGAGGCAGAGCTAGGGACTGACTCCAGGCATTTTGGGATCAGAGCCCATGCCCTTCCCATGATGCTTCACTGCTCTCGAGACAAACGATCTAAGCCTAAAAAGACTGCACGCTACATGCACGTTCATAGCAGCCCTATTCATAGCCACCACACGGCGGAGACAACCCCAACAACGTTCAACAGAGGTATGAAGAAACAAACTGTGCTCTAGCCTTACAATGGATTATTATTCAGCCATAAAAAGGGATGACGGGGGCCGGGCGCGGTGGCTCACGCCTATAATCCCAGCACTTTGGGAGGGCGAGGCAGGAGGATCACCTGAGGTCGGGAGTTCGACAGCAGCCTGACCGACATGATGAAACACTGTCTCCACTAAAAATACAAACTTTGGCCAGGTGCAGTGGCTCACACCTGTAATCCCAGCACTTTGGGAGGCCAAGGCAGGCTGATCACCTGAGGTCAGGAGTTCAAGACCAGCTTGACCAACATGGAGAAACCCCATCTCTACCAAAAATACAAAATTAGCTGGGCGTGGTGGTGCATGCCTGTAATCCCAGCTACTCAGGAGGCTGAGGCAGAAGAATCGCTTGAACCTGGGAGGTGGAGGTTGCAGTGAGCTGAGATCATGCCATTGCACTCCAGCCTGGGCAACAAGAGCGAAACTCTGTCTCAAAATAAATAAATAAATAAATAAAAATAGGAAATTAACCGGGCATGGTGGCACATGCCTGTAATCCCAGCTACTTGCGAGGCCGAGGCAGGAGAATTGCTTGAACCCGGGAGGCGGAGGTTGTGGTGAGCTGAGATCGTGCCATTGCACTCCAGCCTGGGCAACAAGAGGAAAATTCCATCTCAAAAAAACAAAAACAAACAAACAAACAAAAACAAAAATTAGGCCGGGCGCGGTGGCTCAAGCCTGTAATCCCAGCACTTTGGGAGGCCGAGACGGGTGGATCACGAGGTCAGGAGATCGAGACCATCCTGGCTAACACGGTGAAACCCCGTCTCTACTAAAAAATACAAAAAACTAGCCGGGCGAGGTGGCGGGCGCCTGTAGTCCCAGCTACTCGGGAGGCTGAGGCAGGAGAATGGCGTGAACCCGGGAGGCGGAGCTTGCAGTGAGCTGAGATCTGGTCACTGCACTCCAGCCTGGGTGACAGAGCAAGACTCCGTCTCAAAAAAAAAAAAAAAAAAAAAAAAAAAAAAAAAAAAAATTAGCCAGGTGTGGTGGCAGGCGCCTGTAATTCCAGCTACTCAGGAGGCTGAGGCAGGAGAATTACCTGAACCCGGGAGGCGGAGGTTGTAGTGAGCCGAGATGGCACCACTGCACTCCAGCCTGGGTGACAGAGGGAGACTCCATCTCAAAAAATAAATAAATAAATAAATAAATAAAGGAAATCAAGACAAGGCAGGATGGGAGTCTACTTCAAAACAGAGAAAAAAGGGGCTGGTTGTGGTGGCTCACACCTGTAATCCTAGCACTTTGGGAGCTGAGACAAGTGGATGGCATGAGCCCAGGAGTTCATGATCAGCCTGGGCAACATAAAGAGATACCCATCTCTACAAAAAATTAAGAAATTAGCTGAGTGTGGCTGTGGCACACCTATAGTCCCAACTACTCTGGAGGATGACATGGGAGGACTGCTTGAGCCTGGGAGGCTGAGGCTGCAGCGAGCTGTGATTATACCACCGCACTCTAGCCTGGGTGACACAGCAAGACCCTCTCCAAAACACAACAAACAAACAAACAAAAAACAAAAACAAAAACAAAAAAACAAGCAAAAACAAAACAAAACAAAAAACAGAGGCTGAGCACAGTGGCTCACACGTGTAATCCCAGCTTAAAAGTCTCTTCCCAGAGTAAAATTTAGTCTTTACGCTGGCCCAATGCAGCCCACGTTATACAGGTTTATATAACACATACATCATATGTACATGCTTTTCTTTCTTTCTTTTTTTTTTTTTTTGAGACGGAGTCTCACTCTGTCACCCAGGCTGGAGTGCAGTGGTGCGATCTTGGCTCACTGCAACCTCTGCCTCCCGGGTTCAAGCGATTCTCCTGCCTCGGCCTCCCAAGTAGCTGGGACTACAGGCGCCGCCACCACACCCGGATAACTTTTTTGTATTTTTAGTAGAGATGGGGTTTCACCATGTTGCCCAGGCTGGTCTCGAATTCCTGAGATTAGGCAATCTTCCCACCTAGGCCTCCCTAAGTGCTGGGATTACAGGTGTGACAGGCCATGCTTTTCTTTAAGAAACAAAATAAAGGAGAATAAAAAGTAACAAAGTTGGCCTGGCCTGGCGGCTCACGCCTGTAATCCCAGCACTTTGGGAGGCCGAGGTGGGTGGATCACGAGGTCAGGAGATTGAGAACATCCTGGCTAACACAGTGAAACCCCGTCTCTACTGAAAATACAAAAATTAGCCAGGCATGGTGGCGGGCGCCTGTAGTTTCAGCTACTCGGGAGACTGAGGCAGGAGAATGGTGTGAACCCGGGAGGCGGAGCTTGCAGTGAGCTG